AGACAGACAGACAGACAGACAGACAGACAGACAGACAGACAGACAGACAGACAGACAGACAGACAGACAGACAGACAGACAGACAGACAGACAGACAGACAGACAGACAGACAGACAGACAGACAGACTGATAGAGGAAGGTAGGTAGCGACGATCTCTTCCGGCGATGGAAGGAGAGGTTGGCGGACGCCTCGGTGAGCAGACGGCTCATCGAGGCCGTCCGCCCCGTCCTGTGCCAGTGGGTGGAGGCAAGGCGAGGCATCGGGAGCCGAGCCGTGGATAAACTAACGTAGATGCCACGGTCCGGTTGGGCGTAGGAGAACACCGCGGGGGTTTTTTGTTACACAATAGCATGTCAATAGTTGGCCAAAAGTAATTAAGAAAAAAAAAAAAAAAAAAAAAAATAAATAGGATTTCTTTTAGTATCCTTCCCCTTCTTATAGTTATCGATCTGGCTATACACCATTACCGTTTTATCGCTGAATTTGGGACACGCTGTATGTATGCATAGAATTAGACACCAGTCAGACAATAGTAACAAATCGCTTAGGACGCCTGCTGTCTGGGCCTTGCGAATAATATGTAATGCAATGTAGTGTGTAAGTACAACTTATATTACCGCATAAACATATTTATCAGGCCAGAGGCAACAAGCGGGCGGCGTGTTACTTATCGTTCGCCTAGCTGGTCGCCGACTTGAGGGGGTGTCGCGTGGTGGGGTGGCGGCCTGGCGGCATGGCGGGGTGCTGTCAGCAGTGGCGGCACACGGCGCGTTGTGGCAGTGAAAGTGCGCGGCGCAATGTGGCGGCAGGCCGTGTTGTTGATGGCGACGTTTATGCTCGCCGGTGCGTGGGATATCACATACTACACCCGCACTCGTCTTTATCCATCTCTTCCAAGGGTAAGGAACTTTACATCAAGATATAAACGTTGAACAGTTTCACTGCACACAGAACCGAAAGTGTTTGCTGCAATTGCTAATTTTTTACTATTTATTTATTTCACTAAGGCAAAAAAAAAAAATGTAAAAAGCGAACTCTATTTCAAAGATTTATTTTATCGTTTTATTTGTTATTATCAATATATTATGTTGTTTGTATTTCATCGCTCGGCGATACTTTGATGCTTTGATCTGGGTTAGGAGCGTGAGTTGATATTTAATACATGTTTTTTTTTTATTTGTTTGTGTCAAACGGAATTGATGTTTGTAGCCATAAGTGGTAATTTTAATTTTAATGCTCCCATGTTGGCAAACTGTAGCGTACCCAATACGTTTTACCTCACCCCATAAATAAAAAAAAAA